CATATAATCCGTAGAGAGTCAATGGTGGGGCCAGGAGCAAATACGTGGCGGTATCCCACTCATGGGATTCTGTGTTAAATGTTATAACAAAATCCCAGGCGAAATACAACAATTAAATGAAAGAAATTTTAAATTATGTGTAAAGAAAACTTTATGTAGAAAAGCATACTACACACTGAATGATTACATTGTAGATAAAGATGCTTGGAGACATGCTGGTCCTGCTCCACAGGATAGCAAACTTACACCAAAATAAATAACGTTCCAGTGGATTTTGCATGAACGGGACTTCTTCATTTTAGTGAAATTGCATTATATTGTATAACTATAACTTAATAAATTTGTAAATGTGAGTGCCCTGTAACCTATTATAATTGGTTAGACTAGCAGAATGTCGATCCTTATAACAGCTTGGAGTTGTCATGCTCACTGAAAGGTCACACTGGCGGTGGCATGGGCGCTGGATCGCTTAATTCCCTATAATATGGTTGAGTTGGGCGATGCTGGTGTACGTGTCATGTTCGTGAACGGGCGCCGTCAGTTGAGACTGGTCAGCTCTAGACTGTCTATTGTCCTTAAGGTTACTTTATTTTTATATTTGAATAAATATTAGTGTTACACTGTTCTTACATAATTAAACCGACTGTTTGTAAAAGGAATCTGTATGTGAAACTGATTTAAAAAGAGTAACCATGGAGTTTCTTGCTCGTTCTTCTCCATCGGAATCTACACTTTGGAACGAGCAAAAAGCTTCACTAAGAGGACTGACCGACAGACTGAAACTATTTTTTTTTAAATTTTGTTTGACGTTCAAAAGTGCCTGTAAAGGTCTAATTGGAATAAATGATTTTTGACTTTTGAGTTTTGACATGCGCGTGTCGGGATCGGAAATGGCAAGTTCCAGTGTGACTTTTTTCGAATTATGTAATAATGTGCTTTCCGAGAATATTTAGGCATCACTAAAAACCAAGTAAAGATCAAAGTGAGGAATATTGGACCTTGATAATTTCTAATTATAAGTCAAAAACCATCAATTGAACCGTTTTAAGCAACTTTGGTGTTTAATAATCGAATTTCTATGTGTGAGAACAGGATTTTTCCTAACAGTTGGCACTTATAGGTTGCTGCTGCTGGGATGATGATGATACGTTAATGACTAAAAACTTCAATCTAAGCTGGTACACAGCTGCTTCAAGTTAAGCAACACTGGAGAATGTCGCCTCCAAGTTGTAATCTTACGCCATTTACAAGTATGTATATATGTATGCACATATCTATACTTATATCCGCTTGAATAACAAGAACAAAACAAGTTTTCATAAAGTATGTATTACTTTGTTGAGATACTTTTCCTTTTGATATCGCGAGAGCGACTTCTAGATATACGTAACAGTGCGTTACGTGAGTGCCGGAGAGGCAACTTGATAGTATACCTACTCGTATGTATATATATTATTAAGTCAGTAAGACACATTATTATTTTATAATACAAAACTTTCAAGAGTGCCTGTCGCCGTTACTACAATGCACAATGCCACGTTATGACGTTATGTATAAACGTAATGACCCAAACCTGACAGTGCACGTGTATAGTATGTGTAGACTCAAGTGTACTGAGCAGGTATATAACGAGGAATAAGGAGGCATCTGTTTGTACGGTTGGCGTACCTACTGGCCACTATTATGGACCATAGTATAGTGCATGAATCTTAAAGATTCGATAGCATAAGATATATTTCGACGCTACAGGATACAGATGACACGTCAAAGTGTGATGCTTTTTTAAATGAAAGCAATAAGCAAAACACTTCGCATTCTCATTCTCCTCGGAGGACGCTCGCGGCGCACGCAGAGCACCGCGGCACGGTCGGGAACTGCGGCCTCACACGCGATACCTATTTTCTATCAACGTTCATTCCCACCACAAACATTTCTATATAATATTCTATATAACTGCGGGTTTCTTTCATGGATTGTAACGCTTTACGGTTTTAAATTCAGTTACGGAAAAAGAACCGCAAATTCAAAACGGTTAAACATAGGTGATTTTTTATATTCTTATTAATTTTCTTATTTCACAACATCATGAGGTTAAAAACCGCTGTAACAGAAATGTGACCTTAGCTTTATAACGAAGACGCAATGCTATTACGAAGGTTCAGAATTGGTTAACAGTTAATAAGGCGGCTCCTAAACGACAAAAAGACAAAGTGTATGCGATTCAGTTTGCCAAATGTTAAAAGTAACGAATGTGACATATTATTAAACGGTAAGATATTGGAATTTGTAAAACAGACTACTTTTCTGAGTATATATTCCATTTCATATATTCCATAGATGACAAACTACAATGGGGGCCCCATATCACATCTCTGGCAGGACGGTTGAGTTTTGCTGCATTTGCTGTCTGGAAGATCCGACAGCTAACAGATGTGGACACTGCAAGACTGGTGTACTTCGGCTACTTTCATAGCATTATGTCGTATGGCATCTTGTTGTGGGGACAGGCTGCTGACATTGAGTCTATCTTTATATATAACAGCTTGGAGTTGTCATGCTCACTGAAAGGTCACATTGGCGGTGGCATGGGCGCTGGATCGCTTAATTCCATTGCTTAATTCCCTATAATATGGTTGAGTTGGGCGATGCTGGGGTACGTGTCATGTTCGTGAACGGGCGCCGTCGGTTGTGACTGGTCAGCTCCAGACTGTCTATTGTCCTTAAGGTCACTTTCTTTTTATATTTGAATAATTTTTATAAATATTAGTGAGTGTAACACTCACATAATTGAACCAACTGTTTGTAAAAGGAATCTGTATGTGAAACTGATTTAATAAAAAAATTATTATTTAAAAAACAAAATACCCGACTGCACACTAAAAAAAGAGTAAAACAAGCCCCACAATACAAATTTACTGAATATAATTTATAAATGTTGATGGAAAGCATCGCAGGCGGGGACCAACAGAGGCTTATTTATAGTCATTTCTGTTGTGCACCATTTAGCAGAATTTTCGTTGGTGGCGGTCAAGGTGGTCCCCGCCTGCGATGCTTTCCATCAACATTTATAAATTATATTCAGTAAATTTGTATTGTGGGGCTTGTTTTACTCTTTTTTTAGTGTGCAGTCGGGTATTTTGTTTTTTAAATAATAATTTTTTTATTTATAACTTTTTAGCTGTTTTTATTTAACGAAAATGTTGTAGATGTAGAAGACTATGTATATGTAAGTACCATTTTAAATGGAATATTAATTACTCCCGTGATTGAAATGAATCTAATGATACCGCATACATATTTTTTTAAAGGGAAATTTAGAAAAAATATTATTATGTCTTTATCCCGTGGGACTTTTAGGATAAAATGTATCCTATGACACTCCCGTAATCAAGACAAATCTAACGATACCTCATACATCAAAATCCATCAAGCCGTTTAGGCTACAGGAGGTCACAAAGGAAAAGACATACATACATACTTACATACACTCGAAAAACATTACCCTCCTTCTTTGGCAGTCGGGTAAAAACATTACCCTCCTTCTTTGGCAGTCGGGTAAAAAGAGTAACCATGGAGTTTTTTCCTCGTTCTTCTTCATCGGAATCTACACTTTGGAACGAGCAAATAGCTTCACTAAGAGGACTGACCGACAGCCTGACACTATAACTTCAAAATTTTGTTTGACGTTCAAAAGTGCCTGTAAGGGTCGAATTGGAACAAATGATTTTTTACTTTGACTTGACTTGAAGGTACACATCATAGCAAATAGAGCCGGTTCCGGTTCGCCGCTTGCCTGTCGCATGCTGCCCCCCAGCGGCAGGCCAGCGCCCTGCAGCCACCACTGCAGTAGGTACCTACATGTAAACCTTGAAGTGGCGCCATTGCTCTCCTACAACACGTGTCGCTGTAGTGACGTCACCTCGTGACGTCATCCCGCGCGCTCTCTGCAGTCTACTATCTGTTCACAGCGAGATGCACTGAGGATCTCGGCCCGCGACACTACCATCTACATAACACAAAGTGCTCATAATGCGAATGGCTAAAACAGAGTGACTTAGGCACTTACGGGGAATGTAAGTGTGATATCATACTAGGTATCAACAAGTGAGTACATCTAGATACGCGTAAGTACGTCGGTAAGTATTTACTTGGAAAAAGGAAACTACAGTTTATGCATAAATAACAAGTTTTATTGCGTTAGAAAGGAACTCGTCAGTGTGTGAGTTGCGCGTGTTTATTACACGATGGCGGGGGGAGGGGCTGTGACGCACACACTCAAACACGTGTGCAAATTTATATATATGTGTTGCAATCATATTCAATAGATATTATCATCGTGTAAACAAGTAGCGCGGCCGACACTCACACCGACGGAGGGGTCGCCTTCATCGACGGAGTGTGTACAGGTGTATGCTATATTTAATGTATACATACTTTATTATTTCCATCATAAAAACATTTTTGGTTTATGTTGAACGAGCATAGTTCTAGTATTATTATGTAATATAAATATGCATGTGCTATGAATAAACTAAGTACGTTAAAAAAATCATTAGCAACAAACAAGAAAATGAAATAAAAAGTTAACAAGTTCTGCTGCTATAACTCGTTTGAAAGGATGTTATTGCAATACAAATTGTAATATTATTAAACTATTCGTTATTTTGCATAAATTATTTATATTGTTTTTGTGAAAGCAGAAAACATAACATGGTATAAAAATTATCGGAATTCATGTCGATTCATTTACTCGTTTATTTATTAAAATGTTTAATAAACAAAACCCGGCCCATTGCGTCGATCGAGTCGGACATTCGTTGGAAATACCGCTTAGCGCCATCTATGGCCAAGTAGTAGAACTTATTTATACTGAGCAGTACTTTTTTAACATTTATCTTTGGATCGTTAAAAATTTGGTTAACACAAGTTGTACACATACACCCGTTATGTATTTTTACACAAGAAAAGTTATGAAGCCACATCAGGGAGCCGAAGGAGGGTCAGAACCGCGAGGCGAGTCCCCCGCCGCGGCTGTCGGCGTGCGAGGCCAGCGCGTCCGCGCGCTGCTGCACCACGTTGACGGCGGCGTGCGGGCCCGACGCGTTGGACGGCGCCGGCGCCGGCAGCGCCGCGGCCGCGGGCGCCGGCCGGCCCGCCTCCAGCGCCAGCGCGCCGCCCGGGCCCAGCGCCACGCGCGCGCGCTCCACGGCGCCGGGCGCGCCGTCGCCCGCCAGCGCCGCGCCCGCCTGCGCCAGCGCGCTCGACGACTCCGCGCCCACCACGTACCGCGTGCCTGCACCGAGCCACACACCCCGCACTCACACTTTCCACGTCTGCTTTACCACCCTCATATAGGTCCTCGACAAACCTCAGTGGCACATACTTCATACAAATTACGTTCGATATTCGTTATTTGACACATCTGCCACGGTCACTTTGACATTTGAAGCAGGCCCCCTAGCTAAGTTCTGTTTCGATAATCGTTATCGCTTTAGGAATAAACAAAATTTAAGGACAAAGATGGTTCTGAAGGTTATCGATAAGAAGAAGGTTAACATTTTTTCGTTTTTAAAACTATTATTACATTACTTGTATTGTGTTGCGATTGTTCATAGATGGTATTGCTAACCATCAGGTGATGCGCCTGCAGGCATAACTACATGCGTTGTTTTGGAATTCTCATCCTAAAGCAGAAAATATCAATGTTCACCAATATTATTACACAAGTGATGCAGAGGCAGGGTGTACTGACCGCAGACGGTGGTGTCGAGCATGATGGCGGGCGCCAGGTCGAGTTGCTCGTGCGGCTCATCTGGTGTCCAGCCGGCCTCTCCTGGCGCCTCACCTGGCGCCCCATCTGGCGCCCCGCTTTCCTCCGCTGGGCCCGATCCGAAAGGCGCTGAGAGTCCTCTTTATACGGAAAATTTCTTAATATTTGACGTATACCTTTATAAAAGTTTCCTTTTTTTTATAAAACTAATATTGTTGTTATTTGACTACACGGTTGGTGCGGTGGCTGGGCAACTGGCTGCCGTGCAACGTGTCGCCGGTTCGACTCCCGCACGGAACAACTCTTTGTGTGATCCACAAATTGTTGTTCCGGGTGTCATGTAACCGCACCCACGACACAGGAGAAAATGCCAATGTGGGGCATCGTTTTGAAAAAAAAGTAGTAGTTAGTAAGTAGTTTAGAAGTTACGAGGGAACAGATGTACATACATACATACATAGCCTGTCAAAATCATAACCCTCCTTTTGCTTTGCCGTAGTCGGGTAAAAAATGGTCTTTCACTGTGTGAAGAAAGTAAGTGGTTAGTTATAAGCCCAAGAGATGGCAGCAGTTCAGTAGTAGAGAATACATCATCAGCGGCAGATGATAATTCTGATGGTGTTGACAACCCTAGCCTGCCTAATATTCAATTAAAGATTCATACTGACTACCTACTTCAAAACAGCAGCAGTATAAAATAAGTAAAAACTCAAATGACTGCTGTAACATAAAAAACATCAATGTCAAAAGTATCAAAACCGGTATACTCGCAGTATTTGGGATGGCCATATAAAAACTAGTAGCGACCTAAATGTATCCACACTCTTTCTTGCTAAGCTGTAATTGCAACGGTTATGATATGAACCCTCGTATTGTATAGCAAGACAGCAGGACTTACGTGACGAGCGCGACGTACGTGTCGTACTGGTCGACGGCGGCGAGCCCGGTGGCGGGGCCGGGCGCCCGCAGCCGGCCCGCGCGCGACTCCTCCTGCAGCGCTGCTATCACCCTGTACGCACAAAACATCAGTCAACTTTACAGTAATCCGCAACACCTGTCGAGTTATAAGTGCGTTGCCGTTGTTTCGGAGATTCAGGGATTGGAAGAGGGAAAGAAGGATTGGGTCTCCGGTAACCATACTCACGTGGCGAAACGGCACAAACACGGCGGTTGTCCCTCGCCGGTACTCCGGTCGAGCCGACCCATTTGTGTCGCGGCATAGACTTTCCCATGGTGGGTGAAAGAATAGCGGCAGAATTTTTCATTTAATTTTTCATACATGTACATAGTCTGGCCATAAATACTGTTACAATTAAAAATAAACAAAATATTACATTTGAATTCGGAATCTGTCATTTTTATATAATTTTTCATTGTGTTTTCTTATTTTGGCGCCCATAAATTGTTCAATATTTTGCGATATTAAAATGAAGTGGGGTGATAAAGTTTTACAATTGAGCAACATTTTAACAAACAAAATGACCGTATTTATGCTCAAAGCTTAAAAGGAAGCTTCTCAATTAGTCGACAGCGTGCAACGTGGGCATTATCCGACTTCAGTGATGGTTTGGTGGGGTGTTAGCTATGAAGGAGTGACTGAGCCACACTTTTGCGAAAAAGGTATCAAAACATCGGCACAAGTGTATCAAAATACCATTCTTGAGAAGGTAGTTAAGCCCCTTAACAACACCATGTTCAATAACCAATAATGGTCCTTTCAGCAAGACTCGGCGCCGGTCCAGTCCAGTCGCCAGTAAAGCTCGGTCCATGCAGTCTTGGTTGGAAACGAACGTTTCCGACTTCATCAGAGCTGAAGACTGGCCGTCGTCTAGTCCCGATCTTAATCCGCTGGATTATGATTTATGGTCAGTTTTAGAGAGTAGGGCTTGCTCTAAACGTCATGGTAATTTGGACTCCCTAAAACAATGCATACGATTGGCAGTGAAGAATTTTCCCATGGAAAGAAAGTGCGTGCTTCTATTGATAACTGGCCTCAACGTTTAAAAGACTGTATTGCAGCCAATGGAGACCACTTCGAATAAGCTTTTTATGTTTTAAATTGTTTTATATTTATGTATTAAACTTACATACTGTAAAAGTAATAAATGTTATTTGCAATAGAAAAAATATTTTTTTTATTTGTTACAGTATTTATGGCTAGACTAGGTACTATATATATGTTTTATTTTAAATAATATTTAAGTTGTGTTTTTTGTGCTTATGTGAATAAAACTTCTAATCTCAGAAAACAATATTGAGGATTAAAACACGTTTAAATAAAGATGTGAATTTAAATACAGTGGGAAGTAAATTATTTACTTGTACCTACTTGCTGAAAATCTTATTAACAATGATGTGGATATTTTTAAAGGGGGAAAATTATCGAATGGCCCATTGCAGTGTCAAACTTCTACTGACTAGAAACCACGATGTTGTTTCTCCAGCAGATAGACTACAAATAAGGAATATTAAGGTTTTTAAATAAAAAAAATATCTTTTAATGCGACACTGACAATTTTAGAATACATTTGGAATAAACTATAGATAAACCTGTCATCAAATTAGTGTACATAAATAGCTCTATTTTGCTGTAACATAGAAACAGCATCATTGGCATAGAATTCCCTTGACAGCACTTATGCTTTATTGCGGGAGAGAGTGCAAAAGCATTCATGTGGTAATTGGTTGCTTGGTAATGGCTAATCTCATAACGGTAATGTAAAGGATGATGATGTAAAGCACTAACCTACGTTGCGCTTCATCCGGCGAGGCGGGCGCCGGCATTAGCGCAGCTTGAAGCGCACGTGCCGCTCCCGAGGCGCCAGGGGGCGCCAGCAGGCGCCAGGCGCCAGCGCGCGTCTCTATCGGCGTCGTACTACGCACTAGCGCTGCACCGCGCCACGCCTCCGACAGTTCTGTGCAGGGAATTTATTATAACCAACAACTTAACTACAAAACTGTGACTAAATTATTGATAGTGTGGGAGTCCCATGCTTCGGCACAAATAGCTGGGCTGCACCGGAGTGATCTGATGCCACGGACGCACAGAAAAAAATAAACGGCGTGAAACAACTGGAGTACTGCGTTTCGCCTTGTGAGTGCGGTTAACAGAAGCCCAATCCTTCTTCCGCTCCCCCAATTCCTCCCCAATCTCTAAATCTACAAAAATTCGGCCGGAAATGCATTCGTAGCCCTTCTAATGGTGCGGGATCAGATTATCAGTATGATGTTGAGCCGCCCCGTCACATAAAATATATAAACATTTTTTATATATACGGAGATTATACATTTATAAGAATGTTCCAACACGGCGCCAATCGTGTAGTGTACTAGGCTCGAGTCACGAAGACACGAGTGCAGTTCACGAGCTGGCCACTAACCGGCGCTAGAGTTGGGCAGTAGCGTGGACAGGAAGGCGGCCAGTGCCGGGGCCGTGGCCACCGAGCCTGCTGCCACCGGGCCAGTCGCCGGGCTCGGGCCCGCCGCGCCTGCCGCCGCTGCCAGTCCCTCGGATACCTGATAGCCCTCCCTGCAACAACAAACTCAGAATCATTCAGAATGATAACTAATACTTCGCGTTGTTGTTCAAAACGTGGAGCCTGATAAGAGATAGCCATACTTCGGTTAGGCATGTTTAATTACTTTGATATTTTTACACCAAACTATCGACGAATATTAATGGTGTAAATCACGAATCACAATATATCTTATTCAGACGTATGGATTTGTTCGGTGAAGAATAACCAGTCTTTGCGCTGATTAACATTATCCGGTATATCTTGGGCCAGAGGTTCAAGCACCCATTTCACATTCTTGAGTGCGAAGTGAAGTGAATTCAAAACCTGCCAAGTTTCAATGTGACATTTTCCGAGCTACATGTGCATTCTAAGTTTTTTAAGGAAAATATCGTGTGAAAACCTGGACTCATAATTTGCCAATTCAAAGCTAACTGGTAATCTGGTATACAAACATTGTGATTAATGGCTATACCATCTCCATGTGAGAATATAACTTTTCTCGGGATTAGGCACTTATAGGCTGATGATATAATCAGATGATGGATTTGTTGCGTTGTAGTTATTTACTGTTTAATATATTTACTTAGCTAAATGTATTGCGGGCATTAGCAGCTGTTGCCAGGGCAGGGCGCCGAGCTGAGCGTGCAGCGTGGCGAGCGCGACCAGTAGCCGCGGTGGGCGCCCGGAGGTGCCCTGGCTGGCGTCCTCACTGGCGCCCTCAATGGCGCCCCCCCACTCGTACAGCGCGGGCGGACGTGTGCGTGCCGCGCGGTACTCCCAGTACAGCATCGCTCCGCTCCTGCGGAAGTAAATACATTCCCTTATTATTTTACATTTACTACTTTAGGAAGACACTCGCCATGAACTTAACTTTTTCAGACAACTTGCGGATCGCAGCGAGGTTATAACAATCTTATAACTAACTTTGTAAGTCCAACATTATTATTTTAAGTGATACAGCGGCATTCCAGCTTTTTGTGAGCAAACTTTTTGTGGAATGGGAGGCAAGCGAGCAGACGGATCACCTGATGGTAAGCGACCGGCGCCGCCCATGGACACCTGCAAAACTAGAGGAGTCACAGCTCGTCGTTGAATGCGGTCCAGAGGGAGAAGCTGGTACTGGTATGCCCCCGCCCAAACATGAGAACAGTATTCCATATGGTGCCGAACTTGAGCCTTAAATAAGTCTAACACTCCCGCAACACGCAACATTTTGGGACTGGAGAGGGATAGAATTGAGTATCAGGTAACCGCAGCCTTGTGGTACATTATCATATTTATATTCATTATCAATCGCACTAATTTGATAGAGAGAAGCGTACACATTGAAGTGTGGCAATACGTACGCGTCGAGCGAGGTGCGGTGCGGCGCCAGCACAGCGAGGCACAGCGCGGCGGCGGCGGCAGCGTCTAGCGCGCGCCCGCCCGCCTTCAGCGCGTCCGTACCCGCGCGGGAACATGCCGCCGCCGACGACGACACGCTGCCGTGCGGGACCAGCTGCAAGGACCATTTTTACAGTTTATCTTATATTGTCACAAATAATGGTTGATGTGTTGTGTAACAACGTGAGCTGCTATACCTCGAAGTCACCGTAGTAGATTTGCGTAACGAGCGCCAGAGTGATGGCGGCGGAGAGCACGGCGAAAGCGGTGAGGATGAGCCGCGGGCCGGGCGCACAGCAGCGCGCGCGGACGCCGGCGCCCGCCTTCAGCGGCACGTCCTCGCGCAGCGCCGCGCCTGCAACACCACACACTGCAGCCAGCGCCCACTGCAGCCAGCGCCCACTACAGCCAGCGACCACTGCAGCCATCGACCACTGCAGCCAGCGCCCACTGCAGCCAGCGCCCACTGCAGCCAGCGCCCACTGCAGCCAGCGCCCACTGCAGCCAGCGCCCACTACAGCCAGCGACCACTGCAGCCATCGACCACTGCAGCCAGCGCCCACTGCAGCCAGCGCCCACTGCAGCCAGCGCCCACTGCAGCCAGCGCCCACTACAGCCAGCGACCACTGCAGCCATCGACCACTGCAGTCAGCGCCCACTGCAGCCAGCGCCCACTGCAGCCAGCGCCCACTGCAGCCAGCGCCCACTGCAGCCAGCGCCCACTGCAGCCAGCGCCCACTGCAGCCAGCGCCCACTGCAGCCATCGACCACTGCAGGCAGCGCCCACTGCTGCCAGCGCCCACTGCAGCCAGCGCCCACTGCAGTCAGCGCCCACTGCAGCCAGCGCCCACTGCAGCCAGCGCCCACTGCAGCCAGCGCCCACTGCAGCCAGCGCCCACTGCAGCCAGCGCCCACTGCAGCCAGCGCCCACTGCAGCCATCGACCACTGCAGGCAGCGCCCACTGCAGCCAGCGCCCACTGCAGTCAGCGCCCCAGTCTCGCGGCAATAGCTCACCAGTAACATGCTGTGAGTCGGGACTGCTGCGGCTGCTGTTGGCCATGACTGCTTGCTGGAGCTGCTCAGGCGTTCACTTGACGCAGGTAGGTCAGCTGCTGGGAAAACAAACATGTTTCGTAAGTCGTAACAAATGTCAAATATTTACCAATTATTGCATGCAAGTGCAACCTAAATGAATTTTTATTTATTTATATTTAGCTTCGATTACAACAGAATAATTAATATTTAAAATTAAAAATTAAAACAACATTAAAATTGAATTAAAACACCAATCAATTAAAACAGATTAATTAATAACATTAAATTCAATTATCATGTCACATCTGTCTGAGATAAATCGAAATCAATATTTAAAACAAATGCACTATTAAAATAATTAAAAAGAGACCATTGGTCATAATTGTAATTATTAACATTAACCACAATTAGAATAATCTTAGACATATAAGTGTATCGCTTACTGACAGCGTCCGAGATAAATGTCGGATGCGGGATGGGGCATGACGTTTATGCCCCATCCCGCATGGGGCTGCTACTGGCTACAGAAGGGAGGAAGGTGGCGTGCTTTGACTTTGCGTCTGTCGACGAGCAGGAGGGGAGGTTCGTTGGTGTTCAACTTTACGCAGCAATAACTCATGTCGTGACTTGGACACTGAGCGGACAATTACTTACGTGTCTAGATATCTGACAATTCATGTATCAGTTTTGGTATATTAAGTTTGAAATTGTTCGTAGATGTACAGTCAAGGGTCAAAAATGCAATTGCACTCTACCAATTTTAAAACGACTAAAATATCTTTGTAGAATAGAGTCAATGGTTGAGGACTGCTTTAATTTACAGCACAGAATCTAAATTATTGAATAAACTGGCTGTGAACCATTGAACTTCTACTACAAAGTTATTTTAGTCATTTTAAAATTGGTATAGTGTAATTGCATTTTTGACCCCTGACTGTACTTCATTAACATTGTCAGGCCTTTAAAATATGCCGCCGTCACTGTGTGAGCAGTCAGTCAGGATCCGCCGGCCTCATCTAGTTTTGCTAAAAATGTTGGCATGTAAATAATTTGCCGACCAAAACAATAATTTCATTTTGGACATTTCATTGTTGCTGCTGCCATCTACACATGTGACCTACAGATGTGTCTGAATGCATTTTCCTAAAGCTGTTACTCTCTATAGGTTTTAAAGAACAACAATTAGCGAAAATTCACGCGAGCATCTGCCCTATTTAAGGTTCTAGTTCCGTAACTTGCCAACGAATGAAATATTTTTATTATTGTATGTACGCAGCTATCAAAACCAAATTTGGCCTTGCCAGCGATTACGTTCACTGTCGCTGTCACCGAAACCGGTAAGGAGGACTCGGAGGACTTGTGACTTGTGTGAGTTAGTTCATTCGCAGCAACAAGTGTCAAGTAGTGAGACGAGAGCCTGAGACACTGACACTTTGAGGAATAACTATAAACGTTAATTTAATGTATAAACTGTAAAAGGTAATTTTGAGTAACAATTCGAAAGTCGATTATAATGTAAACATAAACAATATGATGTGCGTTTAGTTATTCGCGACGTAAAATGTGTCCCTGATACTTGATCAGGAAGTGAAGATTTAATTTAAATGATTTTCCAAAACACCTATAAGGGTTGGTGATATGGGAAGACAACAACAACGTCAGTATACAGGTCGGGAGCGCCGCGCGCCGAATGTGTCATGCCGTGAGTGCGTTACTCCAGCAGGAAAGTAGCTCCAAAAAATTATTGAGTTATGTGAATAATTAGAGCGTCATTTGCTGTAAATGTGCATACAAGTAAAACATTTGTGCATGCTGTCGTTTTCGAGAAAAATCGAAAAATCTGATTCTGCTGGAGTAACGTTTTTCTAGCAGGAAAATTCTAAACTATTGACCTTAGAGAAAAACAAAGTATATGGGCAGGTAGCTTATATTTGTGCAGAAATGTGCGCCAAAAATGAAATTTGTGCGTCATAAGGTTTTCGAGATATTCAGTTTCCTGCTGGGGTAACGTTTTGCAGAATCCTGTTCCTCGAGAACCAATATTTGTGCGATCGTAGAATAAACGGAAATCAGTAGCCCTTAATTTGTGCGTATTTGTGAAAAAAAAATATTTTCAAAAATATTTACCGTTTTTGAAATAATCACACATATATGAAAACCCAAAAAATTACCCTAGCGCTAAAATGAACAAACGCACAAATTCACTGTAAACTGTATTCGGTTCTTCTTATTATTCTTAACATCCTTGATAAGATTCAAGACAAAATATACACGCGTTTTTATATAATTTAACTTCAAATCTTAATTAATAATGTCGTAACTTTGATGTCAAAATGCAAGGAACACACTCAACCTAAGATAATTTAGTCTAAACCGAGAATTAGAGCGATGTCTCAAATATATATCCTGAAAATTTCAGCTTCAAATGTCTCCTATTAAAGTAGATATAAACAAAAAACCAAAACAAGAGCTAGATTACTGGTTATCCGACTAAATTCGAATGACCATAAAAAAGCGACCGATTCATACATACTGATGACCTTCTTAACTTTGCTCACAAAACATTGTGCTTGGGTACACTTACGTATACAACTGTTAGAGTAAATAACGAGATTACCTTTTATTTTATATGAATAAGTTAGTACATTTGAATTGATAACTAACAATAATAATAAAAACTATGCTAACAACAACAACCTCTTTCATTTGATATCTGACATAGGACACTTACCAATGTTTTGTTTATTTTCTAATTCAATCCCAAAATCGTCTTTTTTAATTTTTATTTACGCTTGACGTCCGTAATTATAAATGTATACATAATAACAAAATAAAGATATTATTATTGCATTTTGCTATAAACGTTATGAACACGATTGTACGGACAACAGATTCAGATAATACTGTTATGTAGAGAAGGTCATCAGTATGTATGAATCGGTCGCTTTTTTATGGTCATTCGAATTTAGTCGGATAACCAGTAATCTAGCTCTTGTTTTGGTTTTTTGTTTATATCTACTTTAATAGGAGACATTTGAAGCTGAAATTTTCAGGATATATATTTGAGACATCGCTCTAATTCTCGGTTTAGACTAAATTATCTAAGGTTGAGTGTGTTCCTTGCATTTTGACATCAAAGTTACGACATTATTAATTAAGATTTGAAGTTAAATTATATAAAAACGCGTGTATATTTTGTCTTGAATCTTATCAAGGATGTTAAGAATAATAAGAAGAACCGAATACAGTTTACAGTGAATTTGTGCGTTTGTTCATTTTAGCGCTAGGGTAATTTTTTGGGTTTTCATATATGTGTGATTATTTCAAAAACGGTAAATATTTTTGAAAATATTTTTTTTTCACAAATACGCACAAATTAAGGGCTACTGATTTCCGTTTATTCTACGATCGCACAAATATTGGTTCTCGAGGAACAGGATTCTGCAAAACGTTACCCCAGCAGGAAACTGAATATCTCGAAAACCTTATGACGCACAAATTTCATTTTTGGCGCACATTTCTGCACAAATATAAGCTACCTGCCCATATACTTTGTTTTTCTCTAAGGTCAATAGTTTAGAATTTTCCTGCTAGAAAAACGTTACTCCAGCAGAATCAGATTTTTCGATTTTTCTCGAAAACGACAGCATGCACAAATGTTTTACTTGTATGCACATTTACAGCAAATGACGCTCTAATTATTCACATAACTCAATAATTTTTTGGAGCTACTTTCCTGCTGGAGTAACGCCCTCTCATGCCGTGCGCACCCGCACGCTACGGGACATCGCTCTTGAATGAGACACGCATCAACGAAGATTTACAGTTTGTTATGTTACCTGTAGTTCAAGGCTAAGTGAGCACATAGCAAGCGGCACAAACACAGCTGGGATCTCAGCAAGTCAGCACACGACCAGATTCAACAACACAACTAGCTACATCACTAGACACACTGCACTCTTCACATTAACTTACTAATCGACGCGCGTTGTGCATTCCCTATGAGGAGCTGGCAGTGGTAGTGTCCGCGGCCCCGAGCGATACTCTGCCGCTAACTGTACTGCGCCGCGCACCGGGAGGGGGGCTACACCAACTCCGTAGGAAGCCTCTGCGTGACGTCACCGTAGTGATGATGACTACTCAGCACAGATTTTCTGTGACTGTCATTTTACCCAATTTTGTAAAATCTGGCACAAGTTACAGACAAGACAAGACAAGACAGACACGTTATTTAAGGGACAAATAACTCTGACCTACGAGCAATCGTAATAGTAGAATGTGATCGCGTCGACTGGAGGCAGATCGCGTAGAGGAATGAGCGAGACACGCGGCCAGGTGAACGACCGCACCGCGCGTGAGTCGGCGCGGACTGCGCGGCAGCGCGCGGCGTCAGCGTCTTACAATGTGCATGCTTATTGGTAAACAATTCGTATTTGTTGATTAAACTTCTATTTTGTTGTCAGCTGACCGTGAGAAGAGGAGCAGTACCAGGCGTCAGGACCGGTGCACATACATATATGTATAGTATAGCTACATATACATATTATGTATTTGAAAATAAACTGCATCTCGTATTATTCGCTGATGAATAATAATGACTATGACGAATAATAATGTTTAAAATAAATACACAAACGAATAACTGTGATGTAGTGACGCTCTAACGAAGGTTCAAAATTGGTTTCTTTACAATAAAACATTTCAATTAAGTGTGGGAGAGTTAGTTATATCGCACCCTAACAGGTAGCAGGCGAGACATAACATTTGCGTTATTCGTAAAATACGAGTACCTAACTAGTAGTTAATTATAAGAAATGTGCTGAAGCCGGAACGAGGTTCATGGAATGCTGTCATAGTTCATGCCTTCTCCATTTCCGAACACATTCAACACTGTATCAAGCTGCACCCCATTGATGTCCCATAGATGTCTTTTTTATTTTTTTGTGAGGGGAAAATCATCAAATGTCTTCTCCCGCCCAGGGTAAGGCGAGAGAGAGTGTCAGACTCTTACTGACTAAAAACCCCCCGTTCCTTCTCCTGCTCTGGGCCGAGGTCGCGGTGCTTCATTGCGCTTACCCCGCAGCCCCGGCTAAACATCAGCCCTTTAGGGCCTCGACTGTGGTGGTCTATTGGCTCTTTGAGGCGCGCGCGGAACGCTACGCGCCGTACGCTCGGGTCCGGTTCTGGTCGGGCGGCGAGCTACCCTTACTCGCCGTCCGCAGACCCGCGCTTACGGTGGCCGGAGATCATCTCTCGATCCCCGACGTCCGGAATGTCGCCTTCTGCGGCGGCTGGGGCGCGAGGAGGATAGTTCCCTCACGCGCTCCGCCTCCTCCTTTGCGAGCATAACTGCTTCGCAGAAGGAGGAGATAGCTTCCCAGTTCCTCTCACGCTGCACCATGGCCTCGATTAAGGCCGGGCGCGAGAGGTCGCCGCCGCCGATCACTTCCCTGAGAACACGGCGGTGCTCAGCCCAAGCAGGGCACTCCGCCACCGTATGCTCCACCGTGTACTCCAGGTGATCCTCACAATGACGACACTCGGGCGTTTCCTTCCGCTGGATCCGAAACAGGAACCTACCAAAGCTGCCGTGCCCGGTAAGCACCTGCGTCAGGCGGAAGGTGAGGACGCCGTGGCGTCTCTCAAGCCACTCCTCAAAGAGGGGTCTTACCGCTGCTATAACAGCGTGCCCGGCCCTCGGTTGCGACAGATGTTGCTTCTGATGTTGGTTAGCCGCCGCGCGCCTTAAGCGCTAACTTGGAAATCTATTTACACAGATACAGTATTAATCCTTATAAATTTAAATGGCTTGGTTAGCACGAGCATTTCATGAACATGGTTTCTTATTAAATCAATTCCTTTATATTTGAACATAGATACAATAACATGTTATAACATAATATAGTAAAACTTGGATTTTATGAAGTTTTTATAATACTCACTTTCTACTCATCTTTGTACGGACAAGCTTAGGGGTTTTACCCATTAGAAGTATCTATATATTTAAAATAAAAAGTACCTAATAGTATTTAAATCAGATTTAATTTTGCTTAGACTTTGCTATAGACTATTTTTTATCGAAGAGAATAGAGCGAAGCCGCGGGCGGAAGCTAGTTATGTATAAATAACATACTGCGAACTAAATGATTGTATAGAGGATAAATATGCTTTAAGGCTAGCTGGTCATACTCCACACGGTGATATTTACGAAAATTGAAATGTTAAGACCTTTGTTCTTACTCCGTGGTTAAAACGGATTTTATTTATGAAATGCTATAACATGTTGTTCACTTGTTGAACTTAAAAGTTGTTGTAAATGTGACTGCCCCCCTGTAACCTTATCAAATTAAATTAGACTAATATAGAAATGAGACTAATAAAGAATTAAGAATATAATTATGTATACTTGTGTCAGCTTGGAATTGTCATGCTCACTAAGAGGTCTTTATATTAGCGGTGGCACGGACCGCACGGACACTGGATTGCTCGATTCCCTAAAATAGTAACAATATGGTTAAAAGTAAGGCGGTGATGGTGTATGTTTCATGTTCGTGAACAGGCGCTGTGAATTGGAAGTGATTAACTCGAGACTGTTGAAATACTTGTCCTTGCAGTTATTTTCTTTTTCGGATTTTTCGGCTGAATATTAATTACAATGTTATCACAGAATTAGCTGCTCTCACGCGGTTTCACCTGCTGCTCGGTTCCATTTGGTCGTAGCGTGATGTTTTATAGCCTTTAGCACTCAGGAACATTGTAGGTAATCAGTGAAAGAATTTTTGCTATCCGACCACCGGTTCCAAACACATTCAAACTTACAAATTTTATCTCTTTATAACCGACCGTTTATAAAGAACCGGCTAAATGATGTAACGAAGAAATAATTGGTAAAAGTGGTTGAAAAAGAGTAACTATAGAATTTCTCGCTCGTTCAGCTACACTGTGGGATGAGAAAAAGCTTCACTTTTTGTTTTCTTTTGTTTGACGTATAAAAGTGCCTATAGTATGTTTGAAATAAATGATTTGACTTTGACTTTGAAAGACGTTTAAACCTCTCATCAATTCTAGCGATGTGGCTCGACCTGGCCCACGCTATGACACTTTTTGAAGACCTGGAGGCAAAGTTGTAGATATTCCTTTTTTGGTGCCCTTTATTTACTTACTATCCTTACCGCCTCCACATTAGCTTTTATGAAAGGTCAACCAATGCCGAAATATCTGACCGACGACGGGGACCAAAGAAAAACCATAGTAAGCTCCAACGCAACAGCACCATGACAACAACAAAATCAGGAGCGGAGTTGGGATCATCTTGGGAAAGCGAACTTGAACTGGTATACTAACTTTCAACAACTGCTGTGGTTATCCATGCGCAGATTTCTTATCAACAGGTCATTAGTATGCTAGATAAACGTCCTATTTCATAAAATAATTAGCTAGATGAAATACCTTCCTAATCTAGCCAGCTTTTATTTCCTTTTAATACACGCTATTCCATATGTTATTGTTACATACAATGACACAGAACTTTAGTTATTTTTAAACGTGTTCGACAGGTGAGCTCATTAATCTCATTACAAGTGAGTAATCATAAACTGCAAGTATGTACCTCCGCACCCCGAATTCCGCACCTCACGTCCTGCAACCCCGTGTTGGTTGAGCGAGTCACTAATAAGGGTAACAAGATTACTAGGCTCGAAGCCTCGCAAGCTAATAATCCCATATATATATGGAGCAGCAAGTTGGCGGCCACAGTCTGTCCGTCCGTGCCAGCACCTCACGTCTCCCAGCCAGCACCATGGTGTACAACTTTAAAGTGTTCAAGAAGTGTGCGCCCAATGGCAAGATCACGCTGTACATGGCGAAGCGGGACTTTGTGGACCACATCTCGACCGTGGAGCCCATAGGTTCGCAACAGGAATGCAGTGTTCATTCTTTAGTCAATCCATACAGAATACTCATTATCGCTTTGCATTGACCTCTGTTAGATACAACCATTTGGTATAAAGTAAAACGTATTTAATTGTATAATCAAGTCCGGTTAAGAATGCTCTCGTTTTAAGATGGAGTTGTGCTCCTGGACGAGGACTACGTGCGAGGGCGCAAGGTGTTTGGCCAGCTGGTCTGCACCTTCCGTTACGGCCGCGAGGAGGATGAGGTCATGGGTCTGAATTTTTACAAAGAACTATTTTTGGCCTCCGAACAAATCTATCCTCCTCCAGAAAAACGGAATTATGAACTATCAAGAACTCAGGTAAGACATTTTAAATGACGTCCTTCTAAGCACTCTTACAGTTTAAAAGAACTGGGATATTGAAGTGTGGGAGACATTGGGATCCACTGAGTTTGCCAGTATGTGTATTTCTGGATTAAGACAAATTTTCTCTTCTTACCCAAATAAATGATTGCCTTTCAATTTTTTCTACTGTCCTTTATTCAATTAACTTACATTCCAATCTAGTGTTCACATGATTCACGTTACACGTTCCTATTAAGAGTACCAATTATATAATTTTCAGTAGATATCTCTGAAACCATTGCCACTTTTAGGATTCCATAAAGTAGCTATGAAATGTCGCTTTCTTCATGTTGGCCAATGTGATTGCAAAGACACTTTTTGTCTATTACTAATGAGTACTTGTAGCAACAAACGTACATCTCACCAAATGGGAAGAGAGTACCGGCGCCTGAATACACTTGTAACACTAATCTCAATACTACAATATAATGCAAATTGCTAAGCGGTGGAAGATCATTTGGCGTGGCAGGAGAATGAATGGTATATAATTACTTTATTGACAGGAGCGTCTCATAAAGAAATTAGGTGAAGGAGCGGTACCGTTCCGGCTCACCGTGCCGGCGGGCGCCCCTGGCTCCGTGACTCTGCAGCCCGGCCTGGAGGATGAAGGGGAGCCGTGCGGCGTACAGTACTATGTTAAAGTTTTTGTCGGCGACTCTGAAATCGACAGATCACACCGCAGGTATAGTTTTTATCTCTTACCGCCACCACCGAGTTTAGGCTTCATTGAGAATCTTACTAGTATTAGCGACGCCCCCCTCACTCCTAAAGTCTATGTTCTGGGTGACACTATACACACGTAATGGACGCGTAGTGTCTGTTTAGCTCCCGGGAGCATCAGAGATTGTCTGGTTCGTCTGTGTAATCTACATAACTGCTGGTCGGAAATTTGTTGAAAAAAACATTGAGGAAAGGGTATATGCTGCAGGAGCACCGTGGCGCTGGGCATCCGCAAGGTGCAGTACGCGCCGGCCAAGCCGGGGCCGCAGCCGTGCACCGTGGTGCGCAAGGACTTCGTGCTCTCGCCCGGCCAACTCGAGCTGGAGCTGACGCTCGACAAGCAGGTACCCATGGTCTATGCGTGTGTCTGTGTATTAATCTAATAATGCAAACATGTGCTCTGTGCCTGCAAGTTACCAGTAAGTCCTGTTACTCTACACAAACATAGCTGAAGCCAATGAAGACTTACAACTTGTATAAAATTCGATGTTTTCTTTTGAAATTGGATAGTTTCCTAGGTCGAAAATAAATTAATTCGAGGTATTCAATACAATAAAATTACTTAATACTTTTATTCATCGATCTGTCGATACACCAAATTTTCGATATATTTATGCAATTTTTTAAGAAATAAGTAAGTCATTTGACGTAGAGATACTATGGCATCATCATTAAAGTTTCATAAAAATTTCATAAAAAAATATCGTTTTTGACCTTTAGATAAAAGTATTGAATTAGACTATCTGGAAACTACTGTATTAACAGCGGTGTTTCTCATAGATACTTGGTGCCATGTAATTTTTACAGTGTTTTTTCGTGAGCCACTTGACATTACAAAACCCAAATTGGTCGGTGAGATGAAACAATAGATAAACACTTAATATTGTAAAATGGAAATGTTTTTATTGATACTTCTAACCATACACCTTTGGCATGCTGGCGGTGAGATGTAATGTTAGTAAAATATGGTAGGAATGCTCCGCCTGGTATTATCTTTTAGTTTCCGATGGGAAACTTCGACCCCACATTTGGGAAACTGTGGTTAAAGTAGATGACTGGTTTGTTGCGGCAGCTGTACATCCACGGCGAGACGGTGGCGATCAACATGTGCGTGCGCAACCACAGCAACAAGGTGGTGAAGAAGATCAAGGCGTGCATCCAACAGGGCGTCGATGTGGTGCTCTTCCAGAACGGACAGTACCGCAACATCGTGGCCAGCATCGAGACGCAGTCAGTGCCAGTCTGTAGTATTTGTCGGCGGCAGTCGCCAGCTGTGGTACTAGTGCGGGCGTGCATTGCAGGGACGGCTGCCCGCTGCAGCCCGGCTCCAGCCTGCAGAAGGTGCTGCACCTGACGCCCACGCTGGCCCACAACCGGGACAAGCGCGGCATCGCGCTCGATGGCCAGCTGAAGCGCGCGGACACCACACTGGCCTCCACCACACTGTGAATATTTATCCCATTTCAAATTATCATACACGAGTATTACTTGGGTTGAAGAAAGAAGGCGGGGTTTGTCCCATGTTCAATCAAGAACATGATTTTTCTATACATATAATACGTATATATTTGATACGTACATATTTTTGTATAATAGTACGTACCACAAACAATCAGACAGATCGCCTGACAGAAAGCAATCGGCGTCGCTCTTGGACATGAAATTCTACAATCCTTAGAACAATTGGTGGTTAGTGTAATATAGAAGCAAAGTATTTTGATAGCATTATTAACCTTTCCCTAGATCTTGCGTTGATACTAATATCGACCTACATACAATTATACTGTAATGAATGCAGGCTCTTGGATCCCGACCAGCGCGATGCATTCGGCATCGTGGTGAGCTACAGCGCGAAGGTGAAGCTGTATCTAGGCGCCATCAGCGGCGAGCTCGTCGCGGAGCTGCCCTTCATTCTCATGCATCCGAAGGTTTACTTCGTATCTTATATTATGCACATCTTTATCCCACCCACTTTATTACTTTCGATGATGTTTTGGCCGAAATATTGCGTGTGGACGATTTAGCGCATTTTATACTAAGCGGTGTCGTAGCTTCCACACTCCTACAAATACACCCATTTTTATATTGTTTTCTTATTGAATAAAAAGTACGTCTAATATTATTACATTATCTAACTGACCGGACGCAGACCGGGATCTGGAACCTGTTATAATTCCTATTTTCTATGTATGAAATTATTGTTATTGATGTTGAGACTAGGTCTTGAAACATGTTTGAGTGCTGACTCGGTCCACAGGAAGGTCGTGTCAAGATGATCCACGCGGACAGTCAGGCGGACGTAGAGATGTTCCGGCAGGACACCGTGCACCATCAGGAGAGCGTCGAGGTGTACTAGCTGCCAGTGGCGCCACCTGCGGACCTGCGACGCTGCATACAGCTAGTAGCTACCAATCTTATTCAGAAGGAGTTATGTTATATTGAAGTACGCAAATAGCTGTCACTTATGTATTTATACGGCGGCTACATATTTACATAATATATTAATATTGTACTCGCTGAACTCTGTATCAATAGAGGGTATTAAAGGAAATATAAACTCCTCTGTGTCTCATTTACATAACAAACTTATACAATAGCGAAAATACATACATCGGTACATTCTTTAGTACTGTTTCCGCATAACCCAAATATATTATTGAAACGTGTTAATGTTCAGATACACTGATTGTTGTTTTATTATGATTCCAAAGATTCGTAAGGGTATATACACATTGAAATGCAATCAAAATAAAGTTCCATTTGAATTACTTTTCTAAGATATCTACCTATTTGCGTTAACTGACTCACAAACAGTGAGAAGGCCAGTTGTCGCGCTGGTCCAGGTTCCCCCACTACAGCAGCGCTCCGACGCGGCGGCCGCACAGCGCACAATGTTTGTAAACAGGGCGCGCGCCTGCGCCTGGGACCACTCGCACCCACCGCGCATCAACGCGGACCACAACGGCGACGATGATGACGGGAGGTGACTGAGGTACGCCGGCGGCGCGCCAAGAACACCGCCCCAGAACCCGATGCTCTGCCTGCTGACGCTTAGGTCTTAACCTCGAGGGTTCTCACGCCACGAATAGTCTGTCTCTATGGCAAATGCTTGCAAAAAAGCCAATCGTTTTGTGGTCCTTGTGAAGAAGTCGGGGCGTCCTGCTGACTCTCAGTCCGCCTACAAACCCATCGACAGCAGACACAGCAGGAGAAGTGTAATTTAAATTATGTATAAAGAAACATTTATGTAAACTAGCATACTACAAACTAAATGATTATATACAAGACAAAAATGCTTGGAGGCTAGCTGGTCCTACTCCACAGAATGTTTAGAGGAATTTTTGATTTTAATTATTAAATTGTACACTATGTTGTTAATTGTTGATGAACTTCTAAGTTTTTGTAAATGTGAGTACCCTGTAACCTATTATAATTAAGTAAGACTTGTAGAATATAGGTACTTGTGTCGGCTGGGAGCTGTCATGCTCACTCAGAGGTCTCATTGGCGGTGGCACGGGCACTGGATCGCTCAAATCCGCTCAATTCCCTATAATATGGTTGAGTTGGGCGGTGCTGGTGTACGTGTCATGTTCGTGAACGGGCGCCGCCTATTGGGACTGGTCATCTCCAGGCTGTCTAAATATGTTGTCCTTGAGGTTCACTTCTTTTTCGTACTTTTTGCCTGAACATTAGTGTTACATTGTTGTCACATATCAGAACCGACTAAATGATGTAACAAAGAAATGTATTGTAAAACTGATTGAAAAAGAGAAATAATGGAGTTTCTTGCTCGTTCTTCTCCATAGGAATCTACACTTTGGAACGAGCAAATAGCTTCACTAGAGGACAGACGGACAGACTGACACACTTAATTTTAAAGCTCATGTTATATACTTTTTTCCTTTTTTGCTTGCTTGACGTTCAAAAGTGCCTACTGTGGTCTAATTGAAATAAACGATTTTTGACTTTTTTTGACTTTTGTGCTTGCCCAGAACAAAACACAACCCGGCTGAACATCGGCTCTATGTAGTAGTCTATGGGTTCCATGTGCGCACGCGAAAGGCCACGAGCCATAAAGTAGGGCGAAATTATTTGCAACAATTGAACATTTTTTATATTATTTTTATTTTCTTATATTTTAACTAACAGGAACAGGAAACATTATAATTATTTTATTAAACTTATAATTATCAAGAGTTCACTTACAACTACATGTATGCGTATGCCTACATTTATTGCTAACCTTACTCACAGCGCTTCATCACATTTATTCTCAGGAGGTTCATGAATACAAGCAGGTGTAATGTGGCGGAACAGCCCAATCACTAAACATTCTCCTTTACCGTCAACATTAAGGTGCTGACCTTAATGTTGACTCTCCTGGCTAACGGCACCCGTATATTGGATAGACCGCATTCGCCAGTTTCAACTCACCCACTTTGATGAGTTGCTTTGGAAATCTTTGGACATCCCTAAATCTTTACACACACTTTACATTATATTCGATTTTACGATTTCTATCAGTTTGGATTCTTTTCCAAACATGGTATTTCGGTAATAATTAGGTATTGAAGATAATTCACGCCATACTATTTTTGAGAGACTGTTGTTAAAAGAGATTCGGATGTCCAGAGCGGCGTACTTAGACCGTAGCTTCTTGCGTTCGCCCTTGTATGTACTGAAGTTCCTCTGCAAAAGAAAAAGGCAACGCTAACATTTCACCAAGATCATTAGTTGGCCTGCCTGCGGTATCTTTTAAAGTTAGTTCATTTTATTGAGTCTAGAAGCTTTACATTTTATTAGTGTGGGAGATCCATGCTTCGGCACGAATGGGTCGGCTCGAGCACAACGTTGTGTTTCGTCGTGTGAGTGAGGTTACCGGAGGCCCATTCTTTCCCCACCCCAATCCCTATATCTCGAAATCCCTAATCCCCAAAAGGTTGGACTCCTCTATTGCGGGTGTCCATGGGCGGCGCTGAATGCTTATTACCAGGTAATCGGTCTGCTCATTTGTCGACCTATTACATAAACACATTAAAAAAAGCGAGGCGTTTGGCATCGAACCTTGATATTAACCAAATATAGACCGAATAGGGAGTGATTTGTAAATGAGATGACTGATTTGGCCGTCTTTGTAATAATCGGCAAGTGTAAGACGGCAGACACTGTGTTTAAGACCTAAGTATTTAGTTTTCAGATCCAGCAAGTAAATTAATAAAGTAATTATCCTCACCACAACAGAAAGCCAAACGATATTGACAAGCGTTGTAAGATCTATGGATTATACAAATTAAATGAAAATTCCTAGTTCTAACGCTATTGTTACTACATGGTTACGTGGCAGGGTGTCACAGCCTTTCAACTTAATTCATTGAAGTGTGGGAGAGCCAAGCTTTGGCACGAATGGGTCGACCGGAGTGATACCACGGCCTCACAGAATACCGGCGTGAAACAACCACGGCGTTGTGTTTCGCCGTGTGAGTGAGGTAACCGGAGGCCCAATCCTTCCCCTCCCCCAATCCCTCCCAATCCCTAAATCTCCAAAACCCTAATCCTTAAAAGGTCGGCAACGCACTCGTTACTCCTCCGTTACGGGTGTCGCCGACCTATTAGATAAATAAAAAAAAATAGCATGTATCTAACTATTTAAATGCAAAAATGTGTGTTAGGTACCTTTGTATCTAGTGTTTGTATGTACCAACCAAACGATGAATGGAACGACTGATTGACGTGATTTTTATTATAATATTCAATAAAACATGACGTCGCGTCGTATGAAAGAGAAATATCGAACCGAATATATATCCTGACTGATCGATATTTGATGTGTTGTGTTCAAAAGTTGTAAGTGTTGGAAATCAAAGATAATGCAGTCGGTGTCTCAGAATGAAATTACAAATGACCCCCCCCCCCCCAAGCAATACAATGCCCCTATTGTTTTCTAGACCTCTAACAATCTGCCCTCTTTTTGACCTCTTGCTCTCGCAAGGGACTCCCACAACAACACTTATAAAATTGCAAATGTACAGGTCATATATTTCAATAAAGTGCTACCTTCAGTGCGTGGTAGCGAGGACGTCGAGCTGATCGTGCGTGTGTGCGGGGGAGTCGGGAGGCAGCAGCTCCGTGGAAGGAGACTCTCCGAAGCCGCTGTCGGCGTCGCGCTCGTCCGTCAGCACCGGGTGCAGCGCCCGCGGCCACGCCGCCAGGTACGCCGCCAGCTCCGCCACGCTCGGCCGACGCTCGGCCGCGCGCTGCCAGCAGAGCTGCGTCAGCCCCCGCCTGCGATCATACCTAGCTCAACACCGGCTTCTTTCGACGAGTTGTGCTACCTCAGCTGTACAGCGCGTCTGCTTTGTGAAACTTACGTTTGTTGCGTGGCATCCAGCGGCAGCGGTGGGGATCCTCCAGCCGCGACATACTCCAGCACGCGAAGCGGCGACATGGCTCCGTACGGCCGCGCCCCCAGGGTTACTAACTCTAGTACTAGCACGCCGAAGGCCCACACATCCGATGCTGCCGAGAAGACCCCGTGCGCGAGGCTTTCGGGTGCCATCCAGAGCACGGGGAACAGTCCCCTGCGCCGGCACGAGTACGCGGATGCGCCGTCTGCTCCCGCCACCGTATCTCGGGCCATGCCGAAGTCGGCCAGCTTAAGTGAGCGCCGCTTGTCAACCAGGCAGTTAGCAGCGCGCACGTCGCGGTGCACGACGCCACGCGCTTCCAAGTACTGCAACGCCTCCGCCGCCTCGCGAGCTAGGCGCGTGAGGGTTTCTGCAGACACATGCTCTGCCTCATCACTCTCCGTCGAGTCCTCTGACTCTATGCCGTCCACTAGGTACCGACGTGCGCGCAGGTAGCCCAACAAATCACCAAAGAAGGCTAGCTCCATGAGTACGAGCGGGGGCCCGTCTGCAATGCACACCCCGACCAGACGAACAATATGCGGGTGATCGAGAGTGGCAATCATACACGCTTCACGCAGGAATTCACTTTCATCTGCAGGCGCGGCGTTATCCCGTAGGGCTTTAGCGGCGACATAGCGAGGGTGGCGTCCTGGGGTGCACAACCGTGCTAAGCGGACGCTTCCGAATCGTCCCGCGCCAAGTTCCGAGTGCAGCTCCAGCGCGTCTCGCTCCACCAGGTAGTCTGCCAGCACTGTGGCCACACGCTGGCGCCGTGCGATGGCGTGGATTTGTTGCTCGTGCGCCAGACGCGCCAGGCGGCGGCGCGCCAGCAGCACCGCCACCAGCGCCAGTGGCAGCAGAAGCAGCACGCAGGCGACCGCGGCGTCGTAGCAGTTGGGGTCGAAGGGGTCGCCGGAGCTTATCCTGCAGCTGGAGGTCCCATCGTCGCGCGGCATGTCGTCGGGGCGCGTGAGGCTCGCGGGGCTGGCGCCGGGCCCGCTGACGGCGCCGCTGCTGGCGTTGACGTGCCACGTGGCCAGGCGGCGCCGGGCCCGGCCGCCGCACCACTCTTCGATGTACACGTACGTGGCCTCCAGCACCTGCTTCTTGTAGCGCAGTGGGTGGGAGTGCGGGACGCCTGTCACCGGCGACCGTATTAGACTATCATTAAACGACCTGCAACAGGGATACACTATGTGACAGAGTCAAATTTACTTAGTGGCACTTTATCTTTATTCCTGATGCCATCTACATAATAATAATTAGTGTACATAAATAATATGTATTTTTAAAATAATAGTAATGTATATTAATTATGCTAAGTACGTATAAGATGGCAAACGAGCAACCCTATTAACTGATGGTAAGCAGGCCCTTTTGTTGTTTGTTTTGGATTTGGGGAATGGGTATAGGACTATGGGGTGGGAAAGGACTGAGCCTCTAATATATATATATCATTATATACATCATCATCCATCCTCACAGTGTGAAGCGGCATGGCTCTCTGGCACATGACATCTTTTAATATTTATATGTAGTATAATAATTACATACAATAAAATTATATTTATTTATTTATTTATTTATATGCTTCTTTGTAAATTTTAAAGTTTAAAAAGACTTTGGTCGCGTTAATCTCAGGGTGTATTGGTTTGAATAGGCAACATTCGTACCTACTGGATAGTACAGGATCTGTAGATTAATATAAAACATTACACTAAGCATAGTAAAACCTGATCATTGGGTCGGGCCGCACGTCACTACATATTTGTAGTAATTATAAATATTATGAAACTGTAAATGGGCGGATTGTAAGTATATTTTTAATGGCAATTAGATAAGGCGGAAATACTCACCTAATGACAAAAGTATTGCGAAGGTCCCGTTTGAGACTAAATTGCTCAATGAGGTTTTTGAAACCCATAACGAGAGTGAGGTATGCATTGATGAACCCGGCAGCTTGTGGCGGCCATTTCTGCGTCTGCAGAATGCGATGCATTCGACCAACTAACGGATCGTCAGAATGTGGGACTGGAACGTCATCTGAAGTGTCATGGCTCCAAAGCGATAATGTGAAGTGTTTCTCATTCTCGCACGCGATGTCATCATTTTGTTCCCAGTCACGCATTATCCAAATGAAGCCGTTGGAGAGCGTCATGTTGCGCCTGGCCGCCGCGCCGAGTATTGCGGCAGCAGCTTTATAGTTTGCGTTTATAAAAATGACGCGAGCCTTTGTAGCGCGGAGATCGTTTAAAGTTGTATCAATGTCATGATCTGTTAAGTAAGTGTCTATAGGAAACTCGCGAGTGATTATTTTCGTGTTCAACTTGACTTCCGCATAGTACTGGCGGGCTAACAGTGAGTCCTCCGAAAGCACGGCGAGCCGCGCCCAGCCCGCGGCCAGCACGAAGTGCGCGAGAGCTCGCGCCAGATGGCGCGGGCTGCCGGCCACCCGCCAGCTGGCGCCGGCGGCGGCGCTGCTGTCGTCGGGCACCACGTCTGCCAGCAGCAGCGGCACATTCCTTGCCGTGGCCACGGCGGACGCCTGCAGCGCAGCTTCGCCCGTTGCCATGGATATGGCGCCCAACATGCGGAACGACAACATAGTGTCCATCGTGTCTGATAACCTTTTGCTCATATTGTAGCTGTCAGAGCAATTTATAAAATATCTATTCACCGAATAGATCACAGTTTTATCGTTATATTTTTGTAACGTCTTGTAAATAGCCTTAGTGAGTTTATCGTAAGAGTCCGACGATGTATCGCACACGAATATGACAATTGTGTAGTTATCGACGTCGTATTTAAATTTGTCTGATATACTATAATATTGTACCTTGTTATTAAACACCCACTCACAGGCAGCCGCTTCAATGTGTTTACCTCGCGCTTCCTCCTCGAGGATGTAAAGCAGAGCCTGAGGCGCTGGGTCGAAGTCATGCACAAACTTATACAACGTAGGCGCGTACGTTTCTAGTTTTCCAACATCGGCGACGCGTAAGCTAATGGCGGTGTCTAGTTCTCTGACACAATATTTGGAGGCCGCGTGTGCGCATGGCGGAGGCTCTATTGCTCGTACTCCTGGCATGGACGACCAAATGTCGTGGTCCAAGAATAAGAATGAGTGGTTGGCAGTTCTCAATGTGTTGAAGAAGATGGAATAATTGACTTCGCGTGTTAGCAGCGGAGACTTGGCAGCGTCCGCCCGAGCCCGCAGCTGGTCCAGCGTGACATTGTCGCCGATACTCAGTACTTCTACTTGAGTCATGTTGCCACTGAAATAAAGCAATCAATTAACGTATTATGAAACCTCAAACTATGAAGGATCTGTTGTCGTCTGTATTACTACCTACATAACTATTTGTACACGATTCATAAAATTATGACGTTTACCGGGGAAATTGTGGATCGATGAAACCACAACGCAGGCGCGTAGCTTCGTCAACATCAAATGGCCACTGCATGGCCATGCAGTCCTTGAGGGTCCGTGCATGTGGTGCAAGCCAGACAAACAGGCGGCGCTGCGCAGAGACGGGGCTCATGCCAAACTCGGCCAGGCGTGGACCTGCAAGCCCGCTGTTTGATCCTGTGCCCTCAAGCCACGGTTGCGTGGGTTCAGGCACCCAGGCAGTTGACAAAGCTATCACCCATCTGGAATCACAGTATTTAATATCAAATACCCAATAATTTTAAAGAAGTGTGGAAGGACCAAGCTTCGGCACGAATGGGCCGGCTCGACTCGAGTAATAGTCAAAGTCAAAGTCAAAATCATTTATTCCAACTTAACCATAAATAGGTACGTTTGAAACGTCATAATAGAATAGTAGTCAGTCTGTTAGTCAGTGAAGCAAGGTGCTCATTCCAAATTGTAGATTCGAATGGAGAAGAACGAGCAAGAAACTCCATTCGTTACTCTTTTACAATTTCACTAATATAACATTTAGTATACATTATTATACCCTTATGTGAGAACAACGCAGAGACAAGTTGTTAAAAAAAAGAAATGATGGGATCTATCTTTAATTTTTAATCCTTTGTCGTCTCGAACATGGCGCTCACAATGCGTACTCACAATCTTTAAGAGTGCTTCTATATAAAGTTTAAATCTCGAATTTTAGTAACTGCTGACTATATTTGAGTTTTGTCCAGTGGAACCGAATCAACACGCTGCCAGGCATTCTTATCCTCAATATAATCTGAAAGTTTGTAGTATGCCTGTCTACACAATTCGCGTTTAATATAAGTTTTAAATTTTCGTTCGTTAAGATTCAATACACTACTTGTACCGTAGCCCTCTAAACCAGTCCTCTGTTCCTCGCACTTACCCTTATTAATCATATTTTACTTGATAACTAATCCTGAGATCTCTTTGCGAGTACTGAACTGAGACTCCTGAGTAGCGCTACTCGCTACCTGGAGTCATCTGCCACCCCCAGCACCATATCTTACAATTAATTAAGTATTGCTCTTTCTTTTTGTTTTCTTTTGTGTAACGTGTGTATAAATTAATAATAAAACTTTATATAATTTTGTCAATGTCATGTTTGTAAGTTTTCTGTATAGTTTGTATATATCTATATCTGTAACTTATATGTCTGGTGTAAGCCGTAAATGTAAGTTGGTGCATATATAAATAAATAAATAAAATTTTATTGTAACAATTTACACAGAACGCCATAAAGGATTTCTGTACTTTGGACAGACGGAATCGTGGCACAGCCAGCCTATCTTTGCCTCTTGTATTAAAATTGAGTCTATCGTTTCTTATTTCAAAATATTGCAAATTTTTCCTCACGTACATAATATTTTTATATATAAACTGAAAAGGCAACGTTAGGATATTTATCGTTTTAAATAATTCTCTCAGAGATTCGCGACGGGGCAAGTTATATGTATATCGCTCAGATAGCCCGTAAATACCACGGCTTCACCGAAAACCGGCGTGAAACAACATTTTCAGTGTGTTTCGCCGTATGAGTGATATTACCGGTGACCCAATCCATCGTCCCCCATCATCAATCCTCAAATCCCCTACACTTTAATCCTTAATAACGATGTTTCAACTATTTCAGGGGATTCGTGGTCAGCCTGCGAAAGTATAGTGGTTGCCCATACGCCAGCGGAGGGACGAAGGAATTGTAACACTTTTCTCTCACTTCTTAATTTCCATTGACCCACGAAGGTTTGTCAGTGAAAATAAGATTATTATTAGTTTATTTTGTAAAATTGTCATTGCAAAATTGTCATTTTTATTTAAATGTTATAAAAAATAGCTGTCGAGCTAATACGTACTCTCCGTATCTGTGGTCAGGCCGATGCGGCAGATGGCGCGCGAGCTGCGTAGTGGAGAGCGGGCCCTGCGCGAGCGACAGCGAGTCGTAGCGGCGCACGTGTCGCAGCAGCACCAGCAACAGCGCGGCCGCGGCGCGACCGGCCCCGCTGCCCCAGTACAGCACCAGCGGCCGCGGCGACCCTTCCTCGTGCAGACTGCCCTTGTGGTACAATCCTGTCACACAACCCGACTCTTTCAATACCTACTTCTACACGAAAACTTTACACTGGTCAACCGTACAACTCTACAAACTCTTCAGCTGCCAACGACTGATGGTGGAAGACTGTACTCTCAGTACATACAGCGGCATATACAAGTCCATGTCGAGCGTGAGATCCCTTGACACAAAAAGGATCTGAGAAGCGATGATTCTAAAAGCACTTCTAGACACTTTATACCTGGTACACACACAGGTAGAAAAAGAATTCCTTTAGAACCAGAAACACAGTTCAGGCCTTTCATCATTTTCAGTAAGTGACTAAAATATTTGTCACACAATTGAACCAATTTTAATGTAACTGTGCACAACATTTTGAAACCAATTGAAATAGAGTTACCATGGAGTTTCTTGCTCGGTTTACTCCAAAGGAATCTACACCACAGATTATACACTAATTGGAAATCTACGCTCTGGAACGACTAAACGCTTCACTAGAGGACTTAGAGCAGACTTTACACAACCCTGTAACAAAGCAATAAAACTCACGACACAAATGATGCTTTTATAGGATTCATAATCGTCAAGCAGCTCACCTGGGTGGAGCATATAATGCAGTTTGTAAGATGATTATTTCGCGTCAAATGGCTTGCATAAGCTGGCTTCAACGATAACAAACATGTGCTCCTAATGGCGTATTACGGCTTTTTGGCATTTCGGTGGATCGGTTTGGGGTCCCTGATCTACCACACACACCCGTACCGTGGAGGCGGAGCGCGTGAGGAAACTATCCTCCCTATACTCCAGCGGCCGTTGTAAGCGGCACTCCGGACTTCTAGGACCGAGTGACGATGTCCGGCCATTGTAAGCGTGCTTCTGTGTAAGATGGTCTGCGCTCGAAAATAAAATGTAAGAATAATTGATAAATGTTAGGCCTTCCTCCAATGTTATTGGAAAGGCTCAGGAGCCTGAGGTTGGTTCGCACCACTGCAGGCAATGGTATCAATTTGTTAAAATGTGATTGTGTGTGTGACTCAAGCAGGTGTTCACTCAACTGTTACTGGGACTCTTCATACCTTTCGAAAAATCCCTCAACATAACATCTTTTTGTAATATGTCACCTTCATGGTGCTTCTTATTACGTATCCTAGTCACATTCATTTAGGTTGGGCATGATTGGAGAATTTATATAAATTAATTTTCTCCTTTCAAAGCCTCATCTTTACTAAATTTGATTTCCTATGAAGCAGTAGTGGCACAGGTTAGGTTAGAGACACGTGGAAAGAACGTGTTTATCGTATTATATATTGAACCAACATTCAGGCATGAGGAAGCTGTCCACGCGTCGGATGCCGTGTTTGCTCACATCCGACTAACTTCTTTTTCGAAGGAACTTTTTGTTCAATCTGCAGGTTCAGTTAAGAGAGATGGCAGCACTGCTGGGAGACGTGTATAGAGTTAGATGAAGATCAAATTGCTTTTGTGACAAGTCGGGAACTATTCAGACCCTCGTGAACTTCAAAATAATATTACGATTTCTCACGCAGTGGTCATTGATCAAGTAAATAAATGGCCATTAGCTGTAGTTGGATAAGGAAAATGTATAAAATATACTTATTAATGTTATTATTAAATGGCGTCACTAAGTTAACTACGCTCCAGCGGGAGTTACACACTATCCTGCGTTCAAAACACAGACAGCTACCTACTCCGTGCTAGGTACCTGTTATATTATCACAGTGCCGAGTCCCCACGTACCTACATGAGAACACAACTGTAGTTACGGTTTACCTCGTTGCATTAACGGTTACTTTAATATTATGTCATTTCAATATATTGATCAAAGCTTATTACTTAAGTAGTTTACATTTTGAGCGCAAGGATATAATATGATGTGTTGTTTACCAATACACTGTACACTAAATAAATGCGTTTATAAGAACAATATGTGTAGAAGGAAAGAGTCCCCGATTGTCACGCAGTAGTAGGTACTGGGAGTTGGGGAGCAACTACACAATTTTGACTATTGGAAGATAGAGAAATAATCGCAAGAGCGGGAGTCACCTTTGGGGATGAGGCTATCCAATTTAGCGCAGGCGGGCTGAACGTCGTCAGCAGTAGCAGCAGACAGCAGCAGCAGCGCCAGCGCGGTGCGAGCGGCGCGGCACATGGCGGGGTGCGCACTGCGGCGAGCTCCTCGACCAACTGCTGCTATTCTTCCTGTTGCTTGGGCTCGCCGGCCGCCGCTTATCGCGCGAACACCAACTTAATACTAATTTATCTACATAGGAACCATACTAAACGGATCCCATTATTATTTAATAATAATCAATGTTTCCTATCGTTTATATTAAATGGTTACCTAACTTAATGGCTCGTGTCGACTTTGTGACATTCACACGGTGCCGATGGGCGGATGCACGATTGGAGCGGTGGATGTGTGACTCGATTCCTACCCTAAGTAATTTTTGCATAATCCACAAATGAATGGTTGTTTCTTAGACGAGGTGTGATGATACTACAAAGTATATGGTACTTATAGGAAAAATGGAATCTAGAATTTTTATACAAATAACTCGTGGCTGGCGAATTATTTAGTAATTTAACTCGAAACACAAAACTATAAAGTATTTAAAAATTTGAAAAACAACATTTTTTTATGTAATAGGTCGGCAAACGAGCACACCGATTACCTGAGGGTAAGCAATCAGCGCCGCCCATGGACACCCGCAACGGAGGAGTTACGAGTGCGTTGCCAACCTTTTAGGGATTAGGGATTAGGGATTTGGAGATTTAGAGAAGGATTGGGCCTCCGGTACCTCTCTCACACGGCAAAACACAATGCTGTGGTTGTTTCACGCCGGTTTTCTGTTAGGCCGTGGTATCACTCCGGTCGAGCCGACCCATTCGTGCCGAGGCATGGCACTCCCACATTTAAAAATGACTTCGTTTTATTTTGGCACTTGAGAAGCAAGCTCAATAATATACGCTACCTCGGCCTGGACTAGGAGAAGGAGCGGGGTGGTTTTTCGACAGTAAGAGTCTGACACTCCCTCCCGCCTGGGTGAGAGGAGTGACTGCAGTGACCAAGTATATATAAATTATATACCTTATGAATTTACAGCTAGTAGGAAGATATGCAGATTACCAAGTAAAGGACAAGGCGCAAATATTGCATCATTGTATAATTTTGATAATTACCAGTTAGAATTTATTTTATAAAAATTGATTACAAGTGGTTCAGGCTGATGCGAAGCAAAATTAAATTGCTAGTAAAGTATTAACGAAAGAGTCTTATGATAGAAATATAAATCCAATAACTTATAGAGAAGGTGATTTGGTGTTAATTAAAAATAAAACTTCTTTCGAAATGTTACCTCAACTGTAGCTCAGTACCACCTGAGGACTGAAGGTTGGCAAGCGCAACATCACATACTTAACGGATTACGTTTTTTTTTTTGTGAGGGGAATATCATCAATTGACTTCTCCCGCCCAGGGCCGGGCGGGAGGGAGTCTCAGACTCTTACTGACTAAAAACCCCCCTGTTCCTTCTCCTGTTCTGTGCCGAGGTCGCGGTACCTCATTGCGCTTACCCCGCAACCCCGGCTAAACATCAGCCCTATAGGGCCCCGTCTGTGGTGGTCTATTGGCTCTTTGAGGCGCGGAACGCTACGCGCCGTACGCTCGGGCCTGGTTCTGGTCGGGCGGCGAGCTACCCTTACTCGCCGACCGCAGACCCGCGCTTACTGTGGTCGGAGATCATTTCTCGATCCCCGACGCGCGGAATTTCGCCTATTGCGGCGGGCACGCGGGCCACCTGCCTCTTCGCAAACATAACTGCTTCACAGGAAGGAGGAGACGGCGTCCCAGTTCCTCTCACTCCGCACCATGGGACGCCGAACTCGGGAATCGCGACTAACGAATTACGGTAAGGTGACGAAAATGCCTGTTTTATAAAGTGTTTTTCATGTTTATGGTTATTCAGTGAACTACTTCTTGCCTTTTTCTGTTAATAAACCTAAAAGGTATAGGTTAAGGTGAATTTTTGAATTTAAATGAATAATTAAACAATATCTCAAGCTTTGTGAACTGTGCTTCGTTACCTTAGTAGATATTATCGCATCCACTGCCTAATCGCCAAGAATGGCAACTATGATTAATCTATTAAATATAATTTAGAATTTGTAAATTATAACGATGAAGCAGTTAAATAAAAGTTAACTTCGCTTTTTCATTTCCTTTTTCCTATTCTCAAAATCCCACCAAGGCCAAGCTCAGCAATCAATCAGCGAGGCAGTCAAATTTTCGATAATTTTTGATAGCCGGGTGCTTTCAAGGCTTTTCATTCAATATAATTGAAAAATTGTAGTGATTATTCTAATTAATTAATGTTTCTAGCTATGATAAACATGATAGCCAATAATAGAAGTGTATTGTGTTAATGTTATTTAGCGCCATCTAGTTGCTCAGTCAGAATCACTGATCCCACGACGTGAACTATTTTGATAAGAAGTGTCCAGATTGTCCGATAGATAGCGCGATTTAAGCATTCCGTATACAACTTTTATAACGAGTTTTGTAGCTTGTGTGGATCTAAGTATTAATTTTAAGCATATTGTTAAGTATAGCCTTTATTATATATAATAATATACTATTTTGTATATGAGTGTAGGAACCTGGTGGTAAAGTTTATTGTTTGCCGTCGAATATTAATAAATACCTATTATTGGACTCTGTGGGTGTGATACCTACTAAATTTAAAATTTGATTTGCTTTTAATTTAATTCCACTTATTTCCTTTTGTTATTTCTTAGTGTAAATTTAATTTTATAACTAGTTTATAATAAATAATATATTATTATTAATTTCTTATCAATTGTTAGTGTAAATTAATTATGGTTATATGTTGCTTACTACCTACTGACGTGACTTGTAAGAAAATTATACGAGTATTGCCAGATTAGGTACCTAATTCAATTGTTAAAGTTATACAACAAGCAATACAA